CGATCGCCACCGCTCACGCCAGCGGACGGTCGTCGTCAAGTGATGTTAGTAACGCCACCGTCTACCTCGTGCGACATACCGGCTCGCCGGCATCGAGCGAGCAACGTGTTCGACCGAGCGGCTTGCTGTGCGGGCGGCTTCTTGTGGCTGCTGGCTCTCGTCGAGAGCGTTTTGCGGCCCGGCGGGTGGGAGAACATGTTTCGTCTGTTGTGTCACTGTGTACGTCACATTGGTCTTGATAACAAGCACGGTTGATCCGTCGAAGCGATACACTCGTTCCTATCACGCTGTGCGACGGTGTATCATTCACTTTAGGATAAGGTCGCATATCAGGATACGCAACGGTGGCATAAAGTGAATGATACACCGTCGCACAGCGTGATAGGAACGAGTGTATCGCTTCGACGGATCAACCGTGCTTGTTATCAAGACCAATGTGACGTACACAGTGACACAACAGACGAAACATGTTCTCCCACCCGCCGGGCCGCAAAACGCTCTCGACGAGAGCCAGCAGCCACAAGAAGCCGCCCGCACAGCAAGCCGCTCGGTCGAACACGTTGCTCGCTCGATGCCGGCGAGCCGGCATGTCGCACGAGGTAGACGGTGGCGTAGCTAACATCACTGACGACGACCGTCCGCTGGCGTGAGCGGCGGCGATCGGTCCCTAACCTGCGGTCCTTCACACCGCAATCGGTTCTTCGCCTTGGTCCCTAATAACTCATATAGTTATCGAAGAGCCAGTTTGCTGCCAACTCCTCGTTCTTGTCGCATGCAAGGTAGGCCTGGACCACCATGTTAGGGTCGAAACCGCCGAGCGAGATGAGCCTCTCGACGGCCGCCCTCTCATCCTCCGTCAAGCGGATCGTGGTAGCCCTAGGCGGCGGCCCCCCTGCGGACGATGAACCCGAAGAGGAAGGACCCGCGTCGCTCCCCTCTTCGATAGGCTGGTTCATCATCTCGAGGAACGCCTGCTGGTTGCTGTTGATCGCCGCCAGCAGCTCGGGCTGCTCCTGCCCGATCTGCATCAGGACGGTCTGCAGCATCTGCGGGTTGGACTGGACGAGGCGCCGCAAGGCGTTGAACTGCGGGTTGTTCCGCAGCGCCGCGAGGGGATCGGACGACGACGACGAAGCGGCCGGGGACGACGACGCGGCGACCCCACCACCTGCCGCTCCCATCGCTGGAAACGAAAAAAAAAACTCTGACATTTTACGAACTCCTTGGCGACGTGCGCGTCGCGTCGCCAAGGCTCTGCGACCTCGGTCGTACAATCAGCGACCTCGGTCGTACAATCGGCCGGCTGCGCGGGTTTTCGGCGAGTTTCCCGCGCACCGGCCACGAACTCGACTCGCACAGCAAAAAAATCCGGTGCTCGCGCGCCACTCCCACGCTTGACCACACACTCGCTGCACTGCTCAAAGCCAACCCTACCTCACTGGCCGCCTCCAACACTGTCCCGCGCGTCTCGCGCCCCAACTGACAACTCATCATTGTCCCCAACTCGAGTCGCACAGCAAAAAAATCCGGTGCTCGCGCGCCGCTCCCACGCTTGACCACACACTCGCTGCACTGCTCAAAGCCAACCCTTGCGTATTCTCGTATTATCTTCGAGTAGTTGTGGCCGCCAGCAGCACCACCGCCGCCGCGAGCAAGCGGGCAGCAACCGCCATTTCTCTCTCTCTCTCTCTCTCTCTCTCTCTCTCTCTCTCTCTCTCTCTCTCTCTCTCTCTCTCTCTCTCTCTCTCTCTCCGCCATTTTAACACCGGCGGGCGCTTATGGAGCCTCGTCGGGCCTTGATTTGTTTATTTAGCCCAGGGGGCTCACTCGGCGCGGCGCAAGATGGGCGGTGGCGCGCCCCTCAGACCGCCCGACATCGCGCCGCCGCAGCAGCACCGGCCGCCGCCACCAAGTCCTGGACCCCGTCAGCAGAGCCCGCCGCCCGGCGTCGACGCGGACCTGCCCGGCTGGGTCGTCATACAGCGGACGACTCAGACGGGCCGCTCGTACAAGGTGTACCACGGCCCGCGCGGCGAGTACGCCGAGAGCCGGCGGCAGGCGCTGCTGCTCGCCTCCGGGGAGCCGCTCACGCCGGCGCAGCTCGCGCCCAAGTGCGTCTCTCTCCCGCCCTCACGACCCGCCGCACCGGCGACGCCCCCCTCAAAGGGTCTCTCCTCCCGCGCCCACATCTGAGCCCCGCCGGTGGTCGCGCAGGACGAAGCGGGCGACGCTCCCCGCCGTCGAGCCCGCGCCGGCCTCCTCCAACCCGCGGGCGCGCGCCGCCGCCCGACCCCCCCCAGCCTGGGACCGGCCCGCAGCCCTCGACGCGGCAGCGCGCCGTTCTCTTCCCCAGGTGGCGCCGCCTGCGCTGCGTGCGCCTTCGAACGGCTCGCGCTCGGCGAGGCCGCGGGCGCCGTCGTACTCGGCGCCTCCGCCGCTGCCGCAGGCCCGCACACCGTTGCCCCCCGCCCCTCCGCCCGCCCGCCATCTCCCACCCCTCCCACAAGGACGGGGCTTCCGCTACCTCGCGCGGCACAACCCTTCCGAACCACCTCTCTCCCTCGCGCCGCACGTCGGCCGTCGCCCCCCCGGCTCCTCGCCAGCCAGCGCCCGTCTCACCCGCACCCCACGCCTGTACCCCACGCCTGTACGCTCTCGCCTCCTCTCTCCGTCCCCGCGCCCGCCTTGTCCGTCTTTCGGCCACGGCTGAGAGTGCCCGAGAGTGCCCGAGGCTGCCCGAGGCTACCCGAGATTGCTCGGAGCGTGCCGAGCTGGCGCGGCTCGCGCGGCAGCAGGAGGAGCACACGTCCATGGACGCGTCCGGGACACAGTCTGGTCTCTCTCTCTCCTCCACCCTCACTTCCGCCGACGCCCCCGCCAACCCCTCCCCCGCCTCCTCCCTCGCCACGCCCTCCATCTCCGCCTCCTCCCTCTCCGCCTCCTCCCTCGCCGCCTCCTCCCTCTCCGCCTCCTCCCTCTCCGCCGCCTCCCTCTCCGCCGCCTCCCTCTCCGCCTCCTCCCTCTCCGCCTCCTCCCTCTCCGCCTCCTCCCTCTCCGCCTCCTCCCTCTCCGCCGCCTCCTTCTCCGCCGCCTCCCTCGCCGCCGCCTCCCTCGCTGCTGCCTCCCTCGCCGCCTCCACCATCTTCGCCGCCATCCACCATCTTCGCCGCCTCACGCCATCGCCGCCGCCGCCCGCGCCCCTCTCCCGCGTGCATGCCCTCTGAACCTTCTCGGAACCGTCTCGGAACCGTCTCGGAACCTGCGCCTCCTCTCTCCCGCGTGCATGCCCTCTGAACGCTTGGGGGCTGCTGCCTGCCTGAAGAGGCCCCCGCACGCTCGCCCCGCGATACCCTCGCCCCCCCCCCCGCCCCCCGGACGCCGCCCCACTGCCTCCCACTGCTCTGCCTCCCACCACCTCCTGCGACTACACTCTGTCACTGCCCTCGAGGTAGTCTTGCGCCCCATGTCCCTGTCACGACCCTTCTCCTCCCGCCACTGTGCACGCTTGGACTGCTGCTGCTGCTGCTCGAAGTGCAGCGCGCTCTGTCCCACTCTGATGAGCCATGCGCACGACTGCGCG